AATATAATTATATATTATATGATAAATTAAATATATATTATATTATAATCATTATTTCTCTATAGTATTAAAAGAAAAGCATTACATTAAAATGTCTAAAAATTATTATGGTATTTATTAAATATGATAATTTATAATCAATAATGAATATATAATCATTATTTTTTAGTTACATATATACATACTATGAAAAAAATATTATGTAAATAATTTAGTTTTTCTGGTTTGTTAATAATTTTTTGCAGAAAATTATGGGTTTGCGGATTTGATAAACACAATTTTGTAGCTTTTACGGGTTTTAAAAATTTTAGCGGGTTTTATAAATTTTAACAGAAAATATAGTTTTCCGAGAAAATGCCGGTTTGACAACAAATGTGCTTTTGTAGATTTAACAGAAACACATAATTTTTAAAATTTGATCGTAAATAACGATTTTGCAGATTTTACAGGGTTTAGGGGAAAACACGGGTTTACGAAATGCGAATAACGCAATTTTGCGGATTTTTTGGGTTTTACAGGTTTTAGCTAGAAAATGTAGTCATACATGAAAATGCGGGTTTGTGAGTTTGGCAGAAACACATGAGTTTAAAAATTTGGTTGTAAAACATAATTTTATGGATTTTACAATAATACAGAAAACACTAATTTTTTTGGATTTGGCGGAAAACGTGATTTTGCGGATTTTACGAGGTTTACATGATTTTGCGGGTTTTATAGGTTTTGATGAAAAAATGTGGTTTTGTGGATTTTATTGAAAATGTAGGTTTGCGGGTTTGACGACAAAATGCAATTTTGCAGGTTTGACAAAAATTACTTAATTTTAGAAATTTAGCCATAAAATACGATTTTATTGGGGGAAAACATAATTTTTGGTTTTATTAAAAAATGTGGGTTTACAGTTTTGGCAGGAAAATACGGTTTGATGGAAAATGCTATTTTTACAGTTTCTATCAGAATTTTCGGTTTTGGTACAACAACGTGATTTTACGATTTTGCGGGAAAATGCAGTTTTTTATTTCGATAAAAAAAATGGTTTTGACAAAAAACATGATTTTGTGGTTTAAATTAAAAGATATTTTTATCTGTTAATTTTTGAGATTCAAATGCTGCATCAAATCTCTATTTTTTAGCATTTTAAATATCCAAATTTTGAGATATTATAAAATTTGTATTCAGATAAAATATCCATAAACTGATTTAAAAATATTTAAAAGAACAATATTTGAGAGCATTTGCAAGTATCTAGAGGCGAAAACAAACAAAGCCTAAGAATCTTAATTACAAACAAATAAAATCTCTTTTGCATTATAAAACATAATATTTTAAAATATTTGTTATAAAACTTAACAAAAAAATCCGTTAATCAAAATATTTTTTTTTATAAAATTAAGCTTAAATAATTTTAAGAACATAAAACCATAATGTTAAAATGGTTTATAGAATCTAATAAAAAATTTCGTTTGGACCATAATTTTAGATTTAATAATATAAGCTATTTTTTGAACAAAAGTTTACTATAAACTAATTTTTACTATTACTAAAAAAATATTTTATAAAAAGAAATACGCGCAAATGCACAGTTCCAAAAACTAGTATTTTTAAAAATTTGCAACTTTGTATGCATAAAATAATGAAAATTAAAGGGTCTAATAAGTAATAACTATAAAATCCCACACATAAAAAAGAAGCGTTGGAGCGAGAGGATCATCTTCCAAAGCAAATAATACTATAGTATAAAATGTGAAATAACAGCTACATGTGTAAGTTTTGCTTCTGTTATGTTGTTAGCTTAACATTATTGTCTATCGAATTCTTCTTTATCAATAAACATTCAATACTCTTTTATTACTTCCTTAATTTATATGATTGTTTATGAATAGTTTCTACTAGTATTGTTGATCATACTATATAGCAAATATACACTCATACACGAGGAGCCAGAAAACATAAAGCAAAACTATTTTACAAAATAGCTACACCCATGTTTTTATACAAATGCAGAGCATATTTTATAACAACACCATCTTATTCACTCAGGAAAACAAAAACGCAAACACAACTGATTATGAAACCATTAAGACTTTAACCTCTCTCGGATTGATATTAACTCCTTTGTGGCTTCACTTGTTGCCAACCTGTTTGTGGGATATTCTTCAGAACACCTAAGTCCCACATCCAAAACCAGTGTCAAGCATTCAGCAACAGGGAATCCAACTATGAGATTACTATGAAGAACTGATTGGTCTGCAATGTCCAATACTTTCTCTGGCAAAGTCGACTTTGTGTAACTGTGTAGGGTACAATTTTCTCCAAATAACTCATGGGTTGGTCTTTTTCCAGTGGACATTTCCAAAAGGAGAATCCCAAAACTATACACATCACCATGTATTGATGGTTGTCCTCCCATTCCATATTCTGCAACCAGAATTCACGAATACAAGATTGAAATGAACAAACTAATATGCTGATTTTTGTTTTTCTTAGGACATTATAAAAGTGTGATAGTTTTACTAGGGGCGACATAGCCGATGGTTCCTCTAACGCCAGCCGAGCTGAAATGGTTGAGGAAAGAATCTTGATCAAACTTGAGGAGAAGACGAGCGAGACCAAAGTCGCTGACATGGGCGGTTAGATCACCGTCTAGGAGGATGTTGCTTGGCTTGAGATCGCAATGAGCTATTGGTTCATGGCAATGAACATGAAGGTAATCCAAAACAGAGGACACATCGATCGCTATATTAAGCCTTTCAACAAGTGTCAAAGTTCTTGAAGGTTTATGAATCTCTTCCACTTCCTTTGGGTGCAGCCACATATCCAGTTTTCCATTAGGCATGAACTCGTAGATAAGAGCTCTGAATTCGTTTTCTTGGTAATCAGTACTCGAAAAAGCCGTCAACAGTTCACAAGATTGCGATGCCATATGTCTTTCAAAGATTAGCATTCTGCCATAAAGCTCCTCATTGCTCCACGTCTACTTTGGCTGCAACAACTTTGTTCTCCACAGGGAGAAATGCTATGAATACAGTTCCAAAACTACCTGAACCGATCAAATTGCTCGAAGAAAAGCCATCTGTAGCATTTCATGAGAAGATCTGCATAGCTTATCTTCTCATGAAAAACCTCTAATGTGGAAGGAACTGGATTACTGGTCTGCTGATTCTTCTTTCTTTTTCTGAACCAAATTAGCGAAACTGAAGCTATGAAGAACATGAAAAGCAAAGCTATGCCTAGGCTGACCCCGATCGCAATCTTCTTTAAAAGAGAAGAATGCTTTTTCCGTAGTGGTGGTGCTTGCATAAGACATAGCTTAAGTTTCAACTCCACGATGTCTCCACATAGATTTTTGTTCCTAAATACTGAAACTATGGTAGCATTCTGAAATCTTCCTTCTGTTGGCACTCTTCCCTCGAAATTTTTAATTGATAGATTCAGATACTCCAACGAAGAAAAGCTTGCAAAATATCCAAATATACTTTCAGAGAGATTATTGTTCGAAAAATCAACTCTTTTAACACCCACTAATCCTTTTATATCAGGAATGGCTCCTTCAGAAGAATTTCCTTGTAGATAAAGTTGCTCTATTCCGAGACATTTTCCTAAGGCATCTGGGAGTTGTCCTGATAATTTATTATCTGCAATAGATAATGTAACAAGATTTTCTAGTCGTCCAACATCTTCAAATATATAGTCTCATGATTTTCATTTCAAAAAAAAAAAAATCATCTACTCTTTTTCTAGGTTAACATGTTTCGGTGTTTCTCATTTTTTGCAAGAAAGTGAATATGAGGGATGAAGCAAATGCAAGATGCATTTATCTTGTGGTTGTGGGGTTAATGCAACTTGAAGAAAAATAAGGATGGGCTCTTGCCGTCCAAGTCTTGTTACCTAAGTCAATTAATCAACCGTCTAAAAAATAAATGGATAGATTAGTCTTTATGACTTTTCTAAAGACATTACTTGCAGGAATCAAATGCAAAATACCTTTACCTTGTGGTGGTAGTGTGCAACTTCAAGAAAATTGGGTGAAGTACATTAATGGCTCCTAACGACATTTGCAAGACTTTTCTAAAATCGACTGACACTGTACATTTGCAAGCCAGCTTTTATACAAAGACAAAAACATTTTGCTAGTCTTTACGACTTTTCTAAAGACATCGTTGATTTATGATGAAATCGACCAATTGACCAAGTTTCATGTCGTATTAATGCCAAATAGTTTATTTGCAATAACATAGCAAAATTTTAAAGGTTAGAAAATGTAATCAGTGTTTCTTTGACGTCAACGCTTACCCACAATTTGACGTCTCATCGGTAGATTGTCTCTTTAGTGGAAACAACAGTTATTTTTTCATTAAAGTCCGAAGCTTATGAAAACACAACTTGTGCAAGACCACAAGTGGAAACAGAACATGACAAAAAACAGAGCACATAATAATGTTTGCAAATTCTTAATAGTATATTTCTGTAGAGACATGTTAACTTGGTGTAGTTAGATTAGTAATTAAGGTGGATAATTACTGATTACAAAATATTAAAGCTCATGATAGGAGTATACAAGTTTACTTAATTATAAGTCATATGATTTATTAGGGATAATATCTCACATCGGAAGTTGGAAGAGTATGTACCAATCCACTTACTGCTAATTGGTTTTAGGTTGTAAGTCCATGTAACTTAACATGATAGCAGAGCCCGATTCAAACAATCTAACCTGATCCATAATCGATATGTGATCCAAAGATGGTCCGTCAATCCTTGCCTAAACATTAACGAGATTAATGGTCAAAGTAGCCCTCGTCTCGAGGAGGCGTATTAAGGATAATATCATATCCTATTTACTGCCAATTGGTTTGAGGTTGGAAGTCCATGTAACTTAACATGATTATATATGATTGAAACATTTATATTTTTCATCAAAAGTAAGAAGTTTACGAAAAACAACACAAACCAGAGAAAACAGAGCAGAGTGTAAGCATGTTTCCTAATTCTGAATGATATTGTCACTTATTTTGACTGAATGGATGAAAATATAATTCACTCCCAAACGCAGTATGATTCATATCTTGACCTTTTAACTCCAACATATATCGCTGGTAACGATAACTCATCTTTCTCTCCGCGTTCTCTTCCACCACAAGTAACCTCTCAGGTATAAACTTGTCTGGATCTTTGTATGTGGTTGGATCACGCATTATCCCGTAAGCATTCACGAAGATCTTTGTCCCCGATTTTACATCGTACCCATTGATCTTGATGTCTCTGTTGCTCTCTCTGCGTAGCAATGGCCCCACTGGATGAAGTCTCAATGTCTCCTTGATAGCTGCTTGCAGGTAAGGAAGCTTCTGCAAATCTGATTCTTTGATTAACCGACGCGTGGCTCCTAAAACCGATTCGATCTCGTCTCTAATCTTTGTCAAGATATCTTGATGGTTGATTAGCTCTGTCATTGTCCATTTTAAAGGTAAGTTGTGTCTAGGCTCGCCATGAACAATTCCTAATGTACAAGAATGTTTCAAACGAGGCTGATTCTAACGAAAGCTGAAGAAAAAAAAAAAAACAGATGAAACAAAATCTTACAAGGAGCTTTAACATAGCAATACAATAAAACCACTCAATCACAGACAAACACATTTTCAGCTCATACATCATTATTTTCCAGAATAGTATATAAGAAAAACAGAACCTGAAGGTTTCATTGCAAACAAAAAGATAAAGACAAACGCAGGAAGTTTAAGCAACATCCATGTTTTCAGACAAACGCAGCATATTTTATAACAACACCATCTAGGTCACTCAGGAAAACAAAAACATAAACACAACTGATTAGGAAAGACAATACTATATCGGCCTCAGTTTAAGCCTTTTATGTGAGTTGCAAAGTTTATAGAGAAAGCCATTAACACTTTAACCTCTGGTTGTTCTGCTTGCTTTAAAGAACCTCTTTCTGATTGATACTAACTCCTTTGTGGCTTCACTTGTTGCCAACCTGTTTGTTGGATATTCTTCAGAACACCTTAGTCCCACATCCAAAACCAATGTCAAGCACTCAGCAAGAGGGAATCCAACTATGAGATCATCGTGAAGAATCCATTCATCTACAATGTCCAATACTTTCTCTGGCAAAGCTGACGCAATGTAGGTGTGTAGTGTATAGTTTCCTCCAAATAACTCATTAGTTGGTCGTTTTACAGAGAACATTTCCAAAATGAGAACCCCAAAGCTATACACATCACCATGTATTGATGGTTGTCCTCCTATTCCATATTCTGCACCATAATTCACGTACGAGTACAAGATTGAAATGAGAAAATAATATAGACAGATATTTTTTTTTCATATGACATTAAAAAAGTGTGATAGTTTTACCAGGTGCAGCATAGCCGATGGTTCCTCTAACGCCAGCCGAGCTGAAATGGTTGAGAAAAGACTCTTGATCAAACTTGAGGAGAAGACGAGCGAGACCAAAGTCGCTAACATGGGCGGTTAGATCACCGTCTAGGAGGATGTTGCTTGGCTTGACATCGCAATGAGCTATAGGTTCATGGCAATGAACATGAAGGTAATCCAAAACAAAGGACACATCGATCGCTATGTTAAGCCTTTCAACAAGTGTCATAGTTCTTGAAGGTTTATTAATCTCTTCCACTTCCTTTGGGTGCAGCCACATATCAAGGTTTTCATTAGGCATGAACTCGTAGATAAGAGCTCTGAATTCGTTTCCTTGGAAATCACTCGAACAAGCCGTCAACAGTTTCACAAGATTGTGATGCCTTATGTCTTTCAAAGATTCGCATTCTGCCATAAAGCTCCTCATTGCTCCACGTCTCTGCATGTTTAGAACTTTGATTGCAACAACTTTGTTCTCCACAGGGAGAAATGCTATGAATACAGTTCCAAAACTACCTGAACCGATCAAATTGCTCGAAGAAAAGCCATCTGTAGCATTTCGAAGATCTGCATAGCTTATCTTCTCATGAAAAACCTCTAATGTGGAAGGAACTGGATTACTGGTCTGCTGATTCTTCTTTCTTTTTCTGAACCAAATTAGTGAAACTGAAGCTATGAGCAACATTAAAAGAAAAGCTATGCCTAGGCTGACCCCGATCACAATCTTCTTTAGAAGATAATTTATTATGCTCAACAGAGAGTGTAACAAGATGTTCTAGTCCTCCAACTTCCTTTGGTAGAGTGCCAGTCAATAAATTATGTGGCATGCTAAGAGTAAGGAGGGAAAGTTGCATAATTTCTGGAGGTATAGTCCCATTCAACTTATTATACCCAATCTGTAAATATAGCAACTGTCTACATTTACGGAGGCTTGGAGGAATAATTACTTCGAAACTATTGTTGAACAAATAGAGTCTTTCTAACCGAGTGATGTTGCCCACAAAAGATGGTATCTTTCCTGACAATCTATTTGAATAAAAACTTAGAAAACTCAATTCTAAAAGCTTTCCAAGAGAGGTTGGGAGTGGTCCTATCAACAAATTTTCTTCTAACCTAAGTGTTTGTGGGTTTATGAGATTCCCAATGCCATGAGGAATCATTCCGGAAATGTAGTTTCCTCCAAGTTGTAATGTTATAAGCTTCGTGGATAGATTGGTAATGGAAATAGGTAAGTCACCCCCAAGCCTATTGTGATAAACTAGTAATGTATCTAGTTTGGTGCAGTTAGTTAAACCACTAAGAAATTCAAGATCTCCAGCAGAGTAACTTCCCAAAGAGTTATCATGAAGTAGTAAACTTTGTAAACTTCCTACTCTCCCAAAACTCGTAGGAATACTTCCTGTCAAGTGGTTTTGACCCATTTTCAACATTTGTAGATTAGAGATATTGCAAAGTGTTGTTGGAATTTCTCCAGTGAGATGATTATTTTCCATATATAACTCTCGAAAGTTTGGCAGAGAATTACCAAAATCATGCCTCAAACTACCCGAGAACCTATTCCCAAAGATATTTAACAACTCAAGTGAGGATAAGTTGTATATTGCGGGAGGAAAATCACCTGAGAGATTGTTCTCATATATAATAAGACGCACCATCTTAGTCATTCTAGCTATATCATCTGGCAATCCTCCTTCTAAATTATTATCGTTAAAGCCCATATCTCTAAGTGATGTCAAGTTTCCCAAAGATGAAGGTAGCTTTCCTTTCAGATTGTTTCCAGCTAGATCTAAGCTAACAAGCTTTGTCAGTAACCCTATATCGGAAGGAACGCTTTCTCCAAGAGAATTTAGGTTTAGGTAAAGATTCAACAATCTAGAGCAATTGAATAGACCGACTGGAATACGTCCTCCCAGAAAATTCAACTCCAGATCCAAGTTTTCAAGTCTAAACAAGTTTTGCACCTCTTGAGGGATGGTTCCACCAAAAGAGTTATTAGAGAGATCAAGTGATATGAGAAACGAAAGATTACCAACAGATGGTGATATCACTCCTCCGAGGTCCACACGAGTAACTCTCTTGTGTTTGCGGCCGCATGTAACCCCTTTCCAGTTACAAAGAGGGAATGAGTGATTCCATGACGACAAGACAACTCTTTTGTCTTCAGAAACTTGAGACTTGAACTCAAGCAACGCTTGTCGATCAGTCTCGTCGGTGAAACCGTATGCTTCAAGTAAGATGAGAGCACTGAAAGAAAGTAGAAGAAACAATCGTTTCATGCTTCTAATATTGTGCATGAAAGTGAGTATAAATTAATGACGAGCAAAATGCAAATGGTGGTATGCAACTAAAAGAGGAAATACATATAGAGACAAAATCATTTCACCTACTCTTTCAGTGATGCAAGACTTTTCTAAATCGGAGCAAGTTCAGTCAGTAGTCAACTGTCTGAAAAGACAAAATCATTTCACCTACTCTTTACTAGTTTTCTACGGACATAATGGCGCCAATGGGTTCTCGAAGAAATCGACCTTTGACATTATTGTCAAATAGTTTTGGTCTTTGTTGGAACATTTGCAATAACATTGTAAAGTTTCAAAGTGAGAAAAAATAATGTTTCTTCAGCGACGTTGGTCTTTTTTGGCTGTTTCATTATTTGTTGCCCCATGATTATGTAGACCAATATTTGACATACCGTTTTCAGAATTTCATAAGGTTTCTAGAAACTTTTTTTGACTCAACGGAAAGGTCTCCGTACATGCAACAGAAAAAAAAAAACACACTTGTAGAAAAATCAAATAAACAGAACCTGACAGCTCCAAAAATAAAATAAACAAATAAATTATCTTGATCATACATTAATTCAAAAGAAAAAAGCATAAACAAAACTGAAAGTACAAAATCGAAACGTTGGATTATACAAATTAGACGCAAAAATAAATTAAGGACAATCATAGAGTTGGTTACACAACATTCATCTTTTTTTCTGCAAATAAACATAGCATTCCTTGAAAATTTCTGCAAACATAGAGAAAAGGAAAACCATCTATGTATACATCATCAAGACGATTTAATGATATATATGTATAGGCCTCAGAATGAGCCTTACTTCGTGTACTTGTGATTATTGATTAATGCTTGTTATCCATTAAAAAATGTTCAGTCATATTAGATGTTAAGCAAAGTGATTAAGGACTAGTGATTTGAGAAAGAATTACTATAAAATTCACGATATATGCTTTATGACGGTTCTTATTAGTTTCTTAAATTCAATGTTTAGCTTAGAATCCCAATATTATTTATTAGAACTAGTTACATCATAGTTACAAAAAACTAGATGATGGCCGCGCATGGCACAGACAATGAATATTCGTTAAATTTATTTTTCTCAACACATTTAAAAGCTAAATTTAGCTATGAGAAATCATAGAAGTTTAAGATAGTTATAACGAAAATAAGTGATCATTTAAACAACATATATCATGCTAGCGTATGTTTTTGAAATAGCACTATTGGTTCTCAGATGATATCTTTTTAAACATAAAAAGTAATTAACACAGAGATTTTATAAGAGTTACGTAAATCGAACCCTTACTAATCGTCGATATCGATGTAGTCTTCCTCTTCGCCCTCATGCCCATACTCACTCAGTCCAATCCTATTCAAAAATATTTAAGCATAATAATTACAAGAACAGTTGATCATTATCACGCGATCTAAATATTTATTTGCAAAAACGAATTCTTATCTTACAACAAATCTCGTAACTCATATGCCTCTTGAAGATCAGGATTGAATTCAAAACTCTTGAGACACCGAGATGATCAGTAACATGATATTCCTCTACAAAAGGTTGATACTCAACATAAGCCAAAGATCAATAATAATTCTAAGATAATAGCATAATTGTCATACCTTTGCATACAACGACACGCCAGTCACTTAACACACAAATGACTAATTGTTCTGTACTATAACACCACCTATCGTTGAACTCAATGACCAATTTTCCGTGTGCAAAACACTTGATCATCCTATCACTAAAACTATGTTAGACTGAATTGTTCCGTACTGTAAATATTTTGAATATAATAGAAAAACTAAATAATGACTTACGCATCGTCCGTTAGTGTAAACTCAATCCTTGCTGTCATTTTGGACTCAAAATCTTGAAACGAACGGTCTCTGACAACCCGAAGTTCGCCAACAGTTTCAACGGCACCAATTAAATCTGTAAGCGTTATTTCAAAACATAAACGCTTGTAAGACCTAATTATCGATTCGAAATCATAATGAGAGATTCGTAAGAAGACTTACCAACAAGATAATTTCATTGAAAGTTTCCTAGGTAAAGATTCTCATAACTAAGTAAATGCAAATGTGGATCCTTTCCCTTATAGAAATCACCAGTTTTGAGATCTCCCAAGACTTTAGTTCTGGAATCAAACTCAATTCTACAGCAATTTGTTGTCACTTGTCTAACCGATCTCGCTGAGACCACACTGAAACTTCTAACTCTTTTCCATAGGCCTCCCTCATGGAGCCTCTCTGAAAAATAAGGAACACACTCCTCGTGTCCTACTGTTGCTTGAATTTTTGAACCCTAAAACATTTGTAACATTTCTTAATTAAAAAGTCCAATCTGAATCAAAGAAAGAGAAAAAGCGCAAGCAAAAACGTACTTGATCATCAAGCAGTATGAAGTGAAGAACATCACCAGCGTCTGGTACCAGTTCAAGCCATCTTTTATAAACCATAACTCTGATAGTCCAATCCGTTCTTGAAGAACACAACTGACTAATTTTAGTAATTCCAGCCATTTTTAGGATTTTAGAGAACAAAAATCGTTAAAGATATTACTACTTTTTAAGTATCGGAAATATCACAACGTACTTCTGATATGAACTGATTACGGCCCTTGTTTCTTGAATATAGCAAAGACGTAAGTAAAAGACAAATACCGATAAGCTAAATTGTCAAATATTGAATCATTATGCATGTATCGAATAAAGGTAAAGAAAAGAACGGTTCAGAGCTTTCACTATTGACGACAGTTTACATTCTTCAAGACAGGATTTAGTCATTAAAAATACGTTAATCTGTAAAGTAACGTTTGAAATTCAAAAATATTTCAATAGCGCTGGTTAGAACCTGACTACACTAAGGCCCAGTACAATTTCTAATCCAATAACATCATACAACTTTAAAGGCCATGCTTAATCGGACAAAATGTCTGCTAAGTTTGTCTATAAAAAAACCAAGAGAGATATGTAATTAAACGAAATGAGTGACCATATAACAACATAGGAAGTCTACAAAAGTTTCATAAACAATACTATTCAATATAAGTTCTCAACAGAAGAAGATAATATACAGAAGTTAGAGTAGATGTTGCATAAATTAATACATATTAATTGTCTATATCGAGATAGTTTTGTTCTTCTTCTGCATTTTCTTGTTCACTATCTCCAATCCTATTCAAGTGTATAGAAACAGAGCAGTTACGACAACCATTGATCATTGTCGTATATTATAAATAATTTTTTTTAAAAAAAACTAAAACTATCTTACATCATATCCTGTAACTCAAGTGCCTCTTGAAGATCAGGGTTGAACAAAACCCTTGAGATACCGGCATGATCAGAAACGTAATATTCCTCTACAAAAAATATCGACATGGTTAAACATCATTAAGTATCACGATTTGCTAAAGTATTAAACAAATGAGCTTGAGATGGTTAGAGATCATTTGTACCATCGCGTATAACGACTCGCCAGTCATTAAGACCATCTCCAATGTATTTCTCCATTTTATACTCCAAAATAGAGTAACTCTAATAGAGTTGTGTTTTGCTCCAATGTATATATCCATTATTTACTCCAAAAAGGAATATTCTAAATAGATTCTTATTCTATTTTATTATTAATACTTTTTAGTTTTAAAATTTATAAATAAACCCTACTTATTTTATTGTTTACAATTTCTTTCAAAAATTATAAATTAAATATTTATTAAATAATGAAAATTACATAATATCACAAAAAGCATATGTAGTTTTATTAAACATTACTATTACTGAAATTTTTATCATTAATTTTTTGTTGTCTTAAATTTACTTATATTGTTTATCTTAATTTCAGCACTTATTATGTATTTTTAAGTTTATTGTATTTTGCAATATTTTTTAGGAACAATTGTAGTGCTTATATATTCATAATTATCAGTTTTATAATATTTATAAGTATTAAATAGTATAAAACATAATTATTTTAAATCTAAAGGATTAATTTGCAAATAAAAAAGTTCAACTCCAAAATGGAGTAGAGTTTAGATCTACTCCAAATATGAAGTAGAATTTAGGTTTACTCCATTTTGGAGTTGAAAATAGAGTAGGGTTGTAGATGCTCTAAGAACACAAACGACCAACTGCTGTTCATTGCAACAACACCATCTGTCGTTGAACTCAATAGCCAATGTTCCATGTGCATAACATGTTATCATTCGTTCACTAAAACTATATTAGATCGAGTTTCTCCACATCATAAACTAAGTAGATTTATTACCAAAAACTTAGTAAACACTTACGTTTCATCTCTTAATGTAAACTCAATCTTTGATGTCATTTTTGTCTCAAAAAATTCAAACGAATGATCTCTAACCACCTGAAGCTCGCCAACCGATTCAACAGCACCAACTATATCTGTAAGTATTATTTCAGGAAAAATATATTTAAAATAGGATTGTTGATTTAAAATTATAATGACCAATATCGAAGAAGACTCACCAACAGGACAATTTCGTTGAAATTTGCCAAGGTAGAGATTCTCGTAACTAAGAATCTGCAAATGTGGATCGTCTCCCTTGTAAAAATCTCCAGTCTTAAAATCCTTCAAGATTCTAGTGTTAGATTGAAACTCAATCTTCAAAGAATTCTTTGTCATTTGTCTCGCCGATCTCGCGGCTACTACATAAAAAATTTGTATTCTTTTCCATATCCCTCCCTCATGAGGCCTCTCTAAAAAAAAGGAAACATTTCCTCATTTCCTACTGTTGCTTGAATTTTCAAACCCTACAACATATAAGTTATTTTTAACAAAGAAAAAAGCAAATTGAAATAATCAAAAGCAAGCGAAAATATAGCGAGAAGAATTACCTGATCATCAAGGAGACTGAAATGAAGAACATCACCACCGTCTAGTACTAATTCAATCCATCTTTTATAAACTATTACTCTTATAGTCCAATCAGTTCTTGAAGAACCCAGTTCACTAATTGCTG